GTTACAGAAGCGAGTAGAATCTGGCACACAGGTAATGAGATACTGACATGGCAACTCAGTTGATCCACATGTTTGAAAAAAAAACAGGAAAGGAGGGGTGAGTCTAAGGAAAAAGAAACCAGAATTAAATGGTTTTTCTTTTAGTGGCTACAAAACATACACAAAACCCCAGCACCAAAACACCTGGGCCAATTTCTGAGAAAATGGCAAGAAGTTTGATACTTTTCAGTCTGTGCCCCCTCCCAAGTCCCAGATGATTAGTTAAACGCTGAAAAAGGAGAAGTAATGTTTTGAAAATGTGTGTTCATGAGACACATTTTTCAGCTGAAGTTGCAATGTGCATATAAAACAGATAGCTGCATTGAACACACACACCTACTGCTTTGTGTGGAAGCGAAGTGGTAGTGCTTTTATTTTTAATTGATGCTACTGTACCAAGCTTGGCAGGGCCACATTTTTCTAATCTGTAATTTGCATATGATGTGATATGCAACCTCTCTACTGCCAGGCTGAAATTGGGATAACAACAGTAGTTTCATTTTTCAAAATCCTGCCTGTCATTTGCAGATTAGTTTCCCTTTAATTTTGTCTTGCCATGTCTCATCTCATTACTAACTTGATGTTCCAATTTCATTCTGACTGCCCTTATATTTTAAACTTCTAAAAGCACCACTCGTTAAAAATAGGTTGAAAAAATCCCTTTATTGTCCAGGAAAACTGGCATGATTTTACAAGATGATTGCAATAATTTAGTTGTATCCATTCATTTTCCTTCCAGGGTCCTCTTCTGTATGTGTCATATATGGAATCATATTCTGTGCATGGGATATAGCTTCAGATCTTAGGTAATCATTTGGATCTGAAAAATTACACTTGATCCATAACAAAAACAAAATTCTACGGGTCAAATTCTAAAATAAGTTCATTTTCATCACAATCAGAATATACAAAAATATCCCGAGCAAACACACATGCTCACTGAGACCATTAAAATTCAATTGGCACATATTCAGCTAATTGAATATTTATTAATATTGTATATAATATTTAAACATAGCAACATTTTGAAAGTCCCCCAGTTGTATGTTTATTTTAGATCTGTGTAATGCTGCAATTTTTTTTTTAAATAGAGAATAATCATTTAAATGGCTCATGGGGGTCACACTTACCTATCAGATTTTGAGTCTAAATGTCATTTCTACATTCTGGGTTAAAAATAAATGATGCCTTCTACAAACATAATTATTTGGGTACTAAGTATGCTAATTTCAATGAAAGGAAATTATATTTGTCCATGCATAAGTTAAACAATTATTAAGTCAACTAATGTATTAATTAACAATGAGAGAGTGCCCATTTCTATCAAAGTAGTGACATCTAGACAGCATCTTATTCTCTGTTGAGATAGATAGGACTCATTTGTCCAATACTGTAATCTAGCAGAGTGGCAATAAATACAGTCTCTTTCCTCTAATAAATGGAAACATCTTGGGCGCTATCTGCTGTACAAAGGCAGTACTGCCAACATACAGATATCGTATGCAAGCTCACTGCAAAGATTTTATTTCCAAATTTGAAGGCTACATTATGCAGTAGGCTGAAAAGAATGTTATGCAATTAGTCAGAATTATAAAGACTGAATTTGGATGCAGTATTTAGATGGATCTTTCTAAAATGAAAAGCTGTATGCTATAAATTTAAGGAAAGCTGAATCTCTATAATTGGCTTTTAATGGAACAATAGTGTTTAAACTAAAGTACTGTAGTTCTATCCTATTAAATACAAACAGATCCAATTTAAACTACATTAACTTTGTCACACAAACTATCCAAAGCTGCCCTTAAATCATACTTTTCCCAGATTAACTAAGAGTAAACGTTTGTAAAGCACTTTGAATATGAAAAGCACTATGCACAGTAATGGGTAAGTATTCTTATTTGTATTCCATCCTACCGAATTCACAGTGCTGTTAGTTAAGAACAAACACCAAGTCTTTACTGGTAAGTTATTGCACAATAAATCAGCTCCCAGTGCTGTAACTTCGGAGGTGTCCACACTGGCAGTTGTAAAGTGCTGGCAGATACAGTGCCACTTGCAGAGTGATACAGGGAAACAGCTTTTCTGTGTCCACACTGTGCTCCTTCTGATGGTGGAATACGTCCTCAATGTCGTGTAGAAGGTCCTTTTGACCACGGCCTTGCGCGTATTGCCCACACTGCCACACAAAAGCCCCTCACAAGAAAAACACAAGCCACTGAGTCGGATCCAGAGACAGAGCTTGAAGTCCCTCGGGTGCTCAGCACAGTTCTCAGTAAATGGAACTTAATTTGGCAAGCACTTGGGCCAGAGGCATTCAAGCCTCAGTAAACAGAACTTAACTTCGCAAGCACCGGGGCCAAAAAGATAAGAGCAGGGACACAAGCTGTCCCATACACTAAGTTAACAAACACTAAAAAACAGGACAAGATAGGAATATGAGAAATAAGCTGTCATATACAGCAGTTAACAAGCACCTGGAGCAGGGAAGCAAAAACATAGCTAGCTTTCACATGTGCCAGTCATGTCTGCATCAGGCACTGACCACAATGCCCCGAGGCAGACGTCATGTCACGAGAAAGGAACCCTAATATGGTACCAGATATCAAATAATCCTAATATGGTACCGGATGTCAAAATTATAGTATAAAGCACCCTAAACCCTAAGCTCAGAGAAGTTCCGTATCAAAATAGAAGGCACATATCATCCAGCCTGGCTGAGGGGTTGATCACCCAAGGCCGCCTCCCACCCACCGAATCACGAAAAGGTGTACTAATCCGGAGCATGCTACGCGTTGTTTTTTGTCTGTGTATCGTAATTATCACTGGGTTTGTAAGTATTGCTTAATATATTATTTATCAGATTAACAATAGTTAGTTGTATTGTATTAACCATATTGCATAATGGTACCACACCTAGGTCTAAATAAGAAGTAGGAGAAGAATTGAGGGGTTGTTAAGTGAATAGACAAACTAATATTCTTTAATGTATGTTTTATTTGCATGCTACGTTTTCTTAAACAAATCAAAGACAGTAATTTAATATAATCAGATTGTAGTCAATAAAGTTTGTAATTGGTTAAGTACATTTAAGTCTCGGGCTTTCCTCCTTCGCAGCCCCAGTCCCTTGCTACAAAAAGCCACCCCTAGACAATCTTTCGAACCTCTGGTTCATCACTCAGTAGCACTTTTTGCAATGCCACCAAGAGCAGTGCATTGGGATAGCTATCCCACTGTGCAACCGGCTGCAGGGTGCTTTGGGAAGGATTTGCAATGCCACATGGGGCAGTCAGCATCACATGATGCAGGTTTCCCAATCCCATTGCTCCATGGTCATCCTACTACATTAACAGCTGCTGTTCAACAGAAGTCCAGAGGAACCGGGAGAGTGTGACAGGGAGTGTGTGTATAGGGGAAGGGGAGAGACTGTTTTGGGAAATGTCAGCATGCTGTTTTGTAAGTTTAGACAGCGTCAGGAAACAACCTGTCCTGAGGCAGGGAAAGGGGCGAACCCCCCTCATTTCATCCCTTGCCTTGCTCCTCACCTCTTTGCATAGCAAT